TTAAATTTATTGTTAAGTTAAACCAGAATTCAAGATATTAATTTCTTTGAATAAAATGTCTGTTTGTTCTCCTTAACTGCTTGGCATATTTAGTCCTCATTGTTATAAGATTCACTACACAGTCAAAATTGCATGATAAATGAAAGGTAGTCATACTCGTTGTTGTGAAATTGCTTTCTATCTTTCAATTGTGATAAAAGGGACCGTGTCTCAATCTACAAGACTATGCTAAACAGTGAATAATAACTTAAACTTAATTATAATAGTGTTACTAATAGTAGTCTGCAATATGCACAGGAGCAACTTGACCAATGGTTATTTAACCTGCCCAAACGGTGCCAGAAAGTTGTAGCTTTACAAATTGTTTACGATAATATTTAAAATCCGTTTTTGCGTTCGTAACAACTAATAATTTATACACAGACCGGTAGCAGCAGCCACTAGTAACAACTAATAATTTTTCACACGTTTGACGGTGAGAAAGTGTTTTTGTCTGTCGTAATACGGTTTATTTTCACACTCACAACCTTTCCTTTTTTTGCTGTATAATATATGATGTAAGCCATCATTAGGTTTTCTCTCTGATTTTCTTTCTGATTTCATTGTGCTGCTTTACATCTTTAAAAATTATATTACATTCCCTCTCAAGCCTGGACCCACTTAATTGAAACTAATCAAGATTCATTAGATTATATTAGAAACAATGTATAGTAGTTTTTATTGAGCCATTCGCCTATACGTAGCAAACACTTGCTATAAAGTTATTTACAAGTATAAAAACCGAGCACACACAATGTTTCATTTTAAGAAGGAAGCTGGAGGCTACTATGCAACTTTTTGTGTATGAACTAAGATTTCGAGAAATTAAATTTAATAAATCGACAAATTTTCATTTAAACCAATTTTAGCAACAATTTTATAGGACATTAAAACTATTCCATTGTTCAAGAAAGCACGAGGGATAATATGGGGCAGTATCCAGATAGCCCGACCCCTGTTCGCGAACAGGTGTTCGTGAACGATTTATGACATGATGGTTATCAAATCATATGACTGCATAATAACAGTACACAGACTTGCTTCAAGGGGTTCACATCATCGCAAGCAATGCTTGCGATGATGTGAACCCCTTGACACTGAATCAAGCAGGGTTCACATCATCGTTCACATTATCGCACGCGAATTTCAATCAACGGTGTAAAGGCATTCTTTAAGGAGGCCGAGGGTCCATTAATACCGTATAGTAGACAGAAGAGTACCATGTCAGGAATTGGAATAGTTGTTGTTGTTGATGATGGCAACTGATAATACTCCACCAAAAGCGAACGACCTATATACCACATTTAAATCGTAATCATTTATTTCATTGAGCAATATACTATTACTACGCTACAATCAATGCTATTCGTAACCAATTATATCCGAGGGACCACATTTGAATCGTTATCAATGCCTAATATGGTGACTTGGACTATTGTGTACTCAAGTAAGTAAGTAGATTAAGATTAGTGCTGCAATTAACGTGGATTGGACTATCAATTCAAAGAACGAAATAGCTTTAAAGAATCTATAGATAGTTTTGGAGGATCAGATAGCCAAATTTAACAAAAGGCTAAAAATATAACTACAAGCAAAGAGCTGCAGTCTGCAGTCTGTTACCATGACTCTACTGCTAGTTTCCATAGAAGCATAGAAAACAGTCTGCAGTCCTATTGAGTACACGGAAGGAGCTATGTAGTCCTTTACAAAAGATATCTTTAGCTCTACAAGTATACAACTATAGCACAATATTTTTAGCTCTACAAGGCTACAACTAGCACAATATCTTTAGCTTTACAAGGCTACAACAAGTTCAATATCTTTAGCTTTACAAGGCTACAACTAGCACAATATCTTTAGCTATACAAGGCCACAACTAGTTCAATATCTTTAGCTTTACAAGGCTACAACTAGCACAATATCTTTAGCTCTACAAGGCTACAACTAGCACAATATCTTAAGCTATACAAGGCTACAACTAGTTCAATTTCTTTAGCTCTACAAGGCTACAACTAGCACAATATCTTAAGCTATACAACTCATACTGCTTGGACATTAAATCCACATTATGTTGCATTATGTTGACCAGTAACAGCTATTACCATTGGTTCGTATTCACTCAAAGACTTTAGAAATGTGCTGCATAATGCACATGAAAAAAAGCTTTTTACACGTTAATCCGGCCTAAATCCGACTTACATCCCGTAAATTCAGTTTTTTGTTTAAATAAATTCAACTATAAAATGCTAGTAAAACATCAAAAATGAGACACAAAATAAATTTTGTAAATGGATCTCATCCCCGAGAATAAAATCAAGCAATAGGAGCACATTAAGATAACAAATCGTTCACCATCGATCTTAGTTAACGATGATACTCGTAACATATTTGTTTAAAATATTAAACGAGTCCAACTCGGCGCGCGTCTTGGTAGGTTATAAACCTACAACGATCTTAGTGGCCATCCGCTCTGATGTTCATCTAACAACCCTAAATATGTTACAACTGATAGTAGGAGTGACAACCCTTGTAAAAATTACAACTGAGGTGTAACGCGGAAACGTCTCACAAAACACGTGCAGTTCTCTCATGAATCATCTGAGCAAGTGAGGCACTAGTGTGTAAGTGTGTGTCACACTGTCACAATATCATTTCATTGAGTTTGCTCTAAAGAGCATCGCGGAGTATGTTTTCCTTAAACTTACAACTTCTCAAGTCTTCTTATCCGGCATAATTTCCATAGATACCAGGATAGTTTCCGTAAATACCAGGATAGTTCCCGTGGAAATCAGAAAGCCGACAAATCAGTTAGTGGGAAAATAAGCCGCTCAAGTCCTCCCTTTCATCTTTATAAGAGTTATTGTTCTTCACCTAATCATCTCTATAAGAGTTACTGTTCTTCGCCTACTTATCTTTATAAGAATTATTGTTCTTCACCTACTAACTTCTATAAGTGTTATTATAAGTGTTATTCCTCTTTAATTGCCTATCCTAATTTCACTCTATCTGAATTAACAATAACATCCGAAGCCTTAAAGATTCGGATAAACTGGAATTGACTAATACTCGCACTCAACCTGCTACTAGACTTACTCGCAAGAAATATAACGTTTACTGATAATTTACAGTCGTTCCATTGCATTTTATCCCTCGACACGACTACCCTTATAACAAAAGCTTAAAATTACGGAGCAGACGTGTTGAAAAATGAAAGCTTTATAACATTTCTTGCCATAAATATATCTGTCCAATCGTCCAACGGTCATCTAATTCTATAACGAATGAATTTTATCAACAGATTAAAATTACAATGCCAACCCAGTAATAAGTTATAAAAATATTGGAGCATATGATTGGAGATTCAGTTAGTTATACTTAAAGCATAGGTTGAAACATCCACGATACCGGAACATTTACAACCATTAGGAAGCCTCGGCAACTATTCTACTGCAAGATTTACAACCCGCCAGGAAAACTTCTTTCAGTAACTAAAGAGTTGCGATCAGGAATGTTGCAAAAAAAAGTTATCTATCTTTTTTGCAGCAGAATGTGCAACAAATTAGTTTAACTCCTTATTAATTATTTTCTGTGATTTCTCTCATGGTTTAGTTTTTCAAACAGTTTCGCTCAATTTTTGTGTTTTACTCCATATCGAACATGTTACGTTATAAATTCGCATTTCTTTCATTTATAACTCATTTTAATAGATCCCCTGCAGTTTTTTGCTCTATCAGTATGATTAATGGCCAGGTTGTAGGTTTATAACCTACCAAGACGCGCGCCGAGTTGGACTCGTCGACGGTCTTATTTAAAACAAATATTTTACGAGTATCACCCGCCAGGTCAAATTAACCTTTGTTTTATTAACTTTTGATTTATTAATTACATACATTAATAAATTTATGTAGATTCTTGATTTACTTGTTTTACTTTTAGTTAATTAGTTTATTGTCAAGAAGTTAAATTATAATGACATTCTTCATTATGATTAACAATCTACTTATTTTAAAAACTGTTTTACGTATAACTATATAATGAAAACAGGCGTGTTAACATTAATTTTCCTATTCGACTTTAGTTTAATTCCTGTTTAATTCCTGGTTCATTGCTGTCGCGATTTACTAATGTTTTTTTAATGTTAGTTAAATCTGCTTTACTCTTTTTTATATTCATGTTCTTAATCTTATATTTTTGTTTTTATATTGACCACTGCATCTTCATAAGATGTAGCAGCCTAGTATGAAGGTGTGATGATCTTATTTTCAGTTTCGTTAAAAGAACACTTCCTTTAACATGGTTATTATTCATATTTGAATTATTTTTGTATGTTTTTTTAATTATTTCTGTATGTTTTTAATCATTTCTGTATGTTTTTTAATTATTTCTGTATGTTTTTTAATTATTTCTGTATGTTTTTTAATTATTTCTGTATGTTTTTTAATTATTTCTGTATGTTTTTTTAATTATTTCTGTAAGTTTTTTAATTATTTCTGTATGTTTTTTAATTATTTCTGTATGTTTTTTTAATTATTTCTGTATGTTTTTTAATTATTTCTGTATGTTATGACGAGGTCTTACAGCGAGTGTTATGTATGTTTTCCCCACATAATGAAGCTCGAATGTTGCTGATTGTTAGTCAGCGTGTCACTGTTATAGTCAGACAGTGAGATAGTTATTGATACCATTGGTACATTATTTACGACAGTAGTTCAGCCCATACAGCTACTTTGTTAGTTACACAGTCTGTGTACAGTGAGTAGAACATGTGTGTTTTCATCACTCAGTCTTATTTACAGTTACTATAATATATCTCAGTCTTAATTACTTTCCTTACAGTAAATAAGTCTTCAGGAATTCATTGCACCACGGAAGTAATCTTAGTAAGTTATAGTACTCTTAATAAGTTATAGTAACCTTAGTAAGTTATAGTAATATTTAGTGTGTTGAACTAATAACGTCGAGTGATATTTTTCTGGAAAATCCTCAAAACCACGTTAATAATCCTTATTTTAGACGTGATCACATCTTTACATGTGCAGGTATAATTAAGATACACACAGCTGCTCCTTTATAAAGATTACCAGTCTGTTAATGGCCCCTCTGCACTGTATATTGTCATGGCGGCGTCTGATTACCATGGCAACTGATTACCGTGTTTTATCACTAGTTAACCTGACTACGTGGTCCCGTATAATTAGTGTAAACTAGGTGTGAGCCGGCTGTTTATCTCACGGGTTTTCTGGTATCTCAATAATAGATTTGTTGGAAGTTGTAGTAGTTGCTGGTAGTAGGCTATCGGTAACGCTGTGTGATCTCTTATTAGTGGGTATTAAACAGTAAACACCGTTTTATTATTTAACAGAGCGCTTTTTTTTGTTTTGTAGTTAACAAACTTGCGGGGAGAATAAACATGACTGTATTAGTTATCTTGAAAGATGTTGTTTGAACACACATATGACGAACATATCGTTTTTTTATTTTGAGACTTCAGTTTGCTAATCCTTAGAGTTTAACGAGGGTGGGAAGTTATTAAAGTCTAGAACTAGAAATATTTGCACTTTTCTTTACATGTGCTTTCGTAGCTTTACAACTTAACTTTGCAGTAAGTATCTAGAGGACAGATATTTTGAATAAGCTGAACGATTACCAGTTTTGCGGTAGCCGAAACATTTGAATTGTTATTTAATGGCTGCGCACTGCTAATTTTTATATTATAATTGCAACATTGATTGCAGCTAGTGTTAGGCTGCTCACTGCTCAGAGAGATTTACTTTTAAAATCACTTGAAGTTTTCTCTTAAGTTTTAACACATAATAGTAATACCAAAGGCTGAGATCTTATGTCCGCTGAGAGAGATTAGTGCTCGAACACAAAATTACTGACGACTCTATAAAGACACTGCTCCCCACTGTTTAACTAAACACACTTGCAAGGCACTGCTGTACTACTACTACCATATAAAGTAATGTTACCATAGTAACACTACCATATAAGGTAATGTTACCATAGTAACACTACCATATAAGGTAATGTTACCATAGTAACACTACCATATAAGGTAATGAAACACACCCAACCCACTAGCAGGGCACTACTTCACTACTATAACTCTGTTACGTTGTCACTAGTGTGTATCAGTGTGTTGTTCTGATGTGTAATAACTGAGGTCTATTGGGCACCAACATTCAACAACCTAGAACAAACCAAGAACTGATAATTGATAATAATTTAATAATTGACGCTGCAAAAATTGGAATTTTTGTAGGATTCTCCCAGCACAAAGCTGTAGTAATATCATGTTTGTATATTCGTGTGTTTCTGGTTAATTAGCTTACAACTTTAACTTGATTAGGATTACTGATAAGAGGATCATATTGTTCTGTAATTTCGTATCTTTCATTCATTTTGTTTGTTTTTTTAACAACAATTTGTGCTTTTGGCTTTTGTATTTCTTTTGTATGTGATATGTGAGACGTCAAAACGATACATAAGGCAGCGTCAACAAGAAATCAGAATCGACTGTCACAGATTCAAGCTTGACACTGAAGTTAATGTATAACAAGTTTCGTTATTATTAGATTTACTCTGCGAGTATAACAAAGCATTCTGTGAAAAGTACGGACTGCTTTTTTGGCGCCAAAACAAGCAGCCGGCACGTTTATTGAATGGCGATTAAAGTTATGTGGACAATTACCCCAGCCTAGGCATTCTATTCAGTTTTATCATCTCTGATGAAAGGTTTATTTGCAAACTTTTTCAAAATAAACTCGAAACGCTCGATTGATTAATTTAGTGATCAATTCGATTACTTTTTCATTGCCCTACGTGCTTTACCTTTCTCAAAACATTCTTCACTCTTAAACTTTGTTTATATTTCAACTTACAAGGTGTCTTATAGTTATAATAATTATTATAAGTAGTAAAAAGAAACAGAATGTTCTCCTTCGGAGGGGACACTAGAACTTGTACTGACAGAAACCCCAGAAAGAAAGAACAGAGAAGTAAAAGTAACAAGGACTCTATAAAGATAAAGGGACTGCTTTCTGCAGTGAGCGCTTCAGAGCCCCCAGTTAGGATACCCACTACTACTGTAACAGGTACCCACTACTACTGTAACAGGTACCCACTACTACTGTAACAGGTACCCACTACTACTGTAACAGGTACCCACTACTACTGTAACAGGTACCCACTACTACTGTAACAGGTACCCACTACTACTGTAACAGGTACCCACTACTACTGTAACAGGTACCCACTACTACTGTAACAGGTAGGGAGTTGAGATGGGGCAAGGATGGGGTTGATAAGTTGATATGAGGCAGTGGGGTTGATAAGGGGTAAGGGGTAGGGGGGGGGGTAGGGGGGGGGGTAGGGGGGGGGTTATCGCCATCTAATTTTTCGGACTTCACAATTCTTGACCAGAAACATTATAAAACGTAAAATAACTAAGAAACTATTATCAAAAGCGAACTAACAAGAGTGTTAATAAACATATACAAGTTAATAATATCTATAGACACGTATCCTTTAAAAATATAAACGTCTCCACAGTTACCATAGTAACACGTTATCATAGTAACAACGTCTCCACAGTTACCATAGTAACAAGTTACCATAGTAAAAAGTTACCATAGTAAAAAGTTACCATAGTAACAAGTTAACATAGTAACAAGTTACCATAGTAACAAGTTACCAAGTAACATGAACATATCTGCAGCACCCCCAGAACCGGACTTGTCCCGGATACACAGCGGGTTGATGACGCAGATACGAGTTGCTAACGGGTCTGCAGTCAGATCACCCTTACTTCACAAACGATACAAAAACTTTGACGGAATTTCTGGAAAAGACGACAGTAAGTATTTGTTTTTATACCGTCTATTCATCTTTAGTAGTAGTGGTATTTTATTAATTAGATAGATATTTAACCGGAATACTACTATTACTGTTACCGGGATGTGGTGCGATTAGTTTAAACGAAGCCTACAACGCACCAAAACGGCAGCTTACCTCACAAACTTGAATTATATACGGTGAGAAATAATTATCATTTGCCAATCGAAATCAACCGATAATAACATAATTCATTTTAAATTCATCAAAGTTCGAATTTCAAACGGTGGATCGAGGACACTAATGAATTAAAAGTAACTTGAAACCGGTGCACCAGCAAATACCTTATCGGGTAAAATTAACAAAGTTAGAAAGTTGAAAATGAAAACCGTGTAATAGCTTTAAATAAGTTGTAGCATAAAGTAAAAACATTTTAAAGAGCTGATTTGTCGGTAAGCTGTGAGTTACCTGTCACGTTATGCCCATATAAGGAGTTGGGGCAGTTTCAGAATCGTTTCCGACAGCTTTAACAGTAATTGTTAAACCATCTTCAATTCTAATTCTTAACATGTCTAGCTATCAGAATCCGACTCCAAAAGCCGAAATTATTGAAATTATTGAATAAAACCTTAAAATTCCACAAAGTTTCTCAAATTCTTATCTGAAATTGAACATTATGAGCTCTAGGTTTGGGGGCAAAACGTGTTGCGACCCCAATCCGAGATATATGACTTTATTCTTAAAGTTTCGATTATTTCAGGATTACTGATCATTCCAAATAGTGCGTCTTCTTTCAAAATTGTGATATTGCTGTACTACAGTGGAGAAAACCATAGTAACCAGTTACCATAGTAACCACTACAATTAGATAGCCCCACCATTCCAGCCAGCCACAGTGAATATCTCCATCAGTAACCCCACGTTTAGAATAGTAGCCCCTGATATTCTGGTGTGGGCGTGGTAGTGTATTGTGTAGGTGTAGAGAACCAGTCCTAGTCCAATTGTTATCAATACTCCACCTGGGGGGAGAATTACTTAATTAATTTAATTTTAAAGTGAATTGATATTTTATTCTGGTATTTGTTGGAATTCTGATTTGGTCGGGCCCTACCATAAATCTTTTTTTTTCGAAAGTGATCCGGTTCTGTAATGAAATTGGAGATAAGGTCGGCTCTAAGCAAACCCATAATATTGGAATGTAATACTAATATGTATATTTATTATTTACCCAGGGTTAGGAATATAAGGCAGCGCTGTCTACTTCTAACAGTCTCTTTTTCAACACATCTCTCAAACTGTTTTTTCATCTCATCGTCCATCTCCACTGCTATCTTCCCTGACTAAGTACAGGGATTATCACACTAATATCACACATCACAATAATATCACACATCACACTAATATCACACATCACACTAATGTCACACATCACACTAATATCACACATCACACTAATATTACACATCGTCCATTTAACAAAACCTTGGTACAGATCTTAGGTGCAGTGCAGATCTTGAATAAACGGTGCTGCTGATCAAACTAATAAATTAGGGGACAAAGCCACTTACAACTCTACTAGTAGAGGCTCTTACGGGCATTACCTGTTCAATCCGCTAGGGACCCCAGATACACCTTACTAGACGTATTTTTGACCGTAGAATCGATTAAAAGTGGTTTCAGGACGATTGGACTGAGTTAGCGCGGTGAAAATCGCAAAAAACCGATTTTTGGGCCAAAAATAGGCCAAAAAACCATGTTTTTTGATAATTTGAGCAAGTTAATTTTGTTGGCATGTCGGAAAAACTTGCATGAAGATAGCTAAAAGACAGCCGCACAAGATGGTATAAAAATAAAACAAATCCCTCTATTTTAGCGCAGGTAAAAATCCAAAAAAGTGGTAAAAATTTTGACTTTTTTGCTTGAAGCTTGAATAATTTTTTGCAGTTGTATTAAATCCACCCAAAAATAGTCACATCGTGTTTGCCTAAATTTTTCCTTTCCGAGAAGTACCCACTTCATATACTTTATCGAAGTTTGAATATTGTCACTCCGCAAGCGTTTTTGCCAAATTTTCGACGCGCACTACGCGCAAAAGCATTTAGTTGTTATCAATTGGCACCCGCGCGTTCATCATAAATTTCAAACAGCTATAACTCAGCGAGATTATGTCCGTTCTAGCTCATATTTTTACACCAAATAGAAAATAATGTGATCGTTATGCTGACAAAATATGAATATAATTACTTTATTTGCCTTAGAGTAATAGACTGTCAAAGTTTAAAACGCGCATTGGTATAGCACGTGACTAATAAGGCCAAATTTATACTTCTTAACATATTATCGATCCTTAGACATCATACTATTGTGTCTAATTAGCGGTTAGGTCTCTAAACTCGTAGCAGAATACACGTCTTTTTGCCCGTAAGAGCCTCTACTATACAACTACTACTAGTTTTCTAGTACTACTTCTCTAGCTCTACTTCATATTAGTTCTCAGAGTAACGGAGAAGCTAGGTGGTTTCAGAGTTTACAGTGAATTGTTTGCTCCCCCATTAGTACTAGTGGTGCAACACTTAATTAGCTTATTAGTAAGGTAACGTCACTGGGGACATGCCTTTACCTTTCTATCACGTCTCTAGGTGGCGTGGACTTGCTTACCCAACAGACTTAAGACAAATGCTCAAATGTTTAGACTGCTTAACATTTGCTTCGAAAATCATTTTCAAAATCGTAAGCTTGAGTTATATAATTATATAATAATTAACCGAAGAAAATATCAAAATTTCCTACATGAGTTCCACACAATTTCCACTTTTGCCTCCACCCAGATATATATAAACTAATGATATATAAACACAGAGTGAAGCCTGAAGGTGCAAGGTACCAGATCCCTCTAACTGAAGCTAATGTCTCGTTTTAGTGAGACTACTCTAACCAGCTAACAACTTAATGCATGATATTACTCCTTCATAAACTTAATGCATGATATTACTCCTTCATAAACTTAATGCATGATATTAATCGGTTATACTCAAAGGCTAAGCAGTATCACAAGCCGCGTTCCACAGATCTTTTAATGGCTATTTACTGAACCCTGAATCATTAATCTAATATAATGAGCTTGACTAATTACACTTCAGACATACAAATATGCTAAATTCAAAGCAATACTCCCATGCTCGTTGTATCTATTTGACCAGTGCGTTTAGTTTTGGATATGTACGGTGTAATATAAACAAGTTAGCCGTGTTAACATGACACAAGTATTGATGATCACTAGGTTAAAATTATACATGTGTATAATTTGTTGCATATACATTGTATAGTTATAATTTATATCATCAGACCCTGTAACTAACTATAGGTAGTTACAGGGTCTGATGATATAAATTATAACTATACAATGTTTAACACGTCATGTTGTAACTGAAAACCGATGAATATGTTCTAGTTTGGTAACATTTTGGATAATGATGAGGAGAGTGCCAAGATACAAATTGAGAAAGCGTCGAGCAGCAAAAGCAGAGCATTACATTCAAGGTTAGGAAGGTGAACAGCATACTAATAATTTAAACTGTAAACTGTAAAGTGTAAACACTTATTAGTAATTTTCATCTCAAAAACTGAAATTTTCAAAATGTCAGCCGGTGTAACTGTAAGAATAAGATATGTTAAAATAAAATGTGATGTTATAAAACGAACGATATGCAGATCTCCATACATCTGATATAGTTAGTTACTGACAAAATACTAACTATATTAAGTACTATAAGTGTACAAATTACTGACATGTCTGAGATGCACGTATCGGGCCGCTAGTTTACTTACATTGAACTTCTCGAAGGCCTCTTTTCTCCTGTAAGTAACGTTAGTCTGATTGAAGTAGCCCTCCAGCTCCTCAAACCTCTGAGAACTCATCTCCTCCACTTTCTCTTCTGCCACTGTGGTAGGTTTATCTTCAACAGTGTCCTTTGTTATGTCCACTTGCAGAGGCTGCTTGTCAAATATAGTGGTCTTCCAGTTTTCATCGTCTTTGTTTTCCTGATATAGAGCCATTGGTAAGCAAGTGAACTGCAGATATACCCCGCTATAACACGAATCGAGGAAGGAAACAATTAGCCAAATAAAACCGCGTTATAACGAAGTCTTTGTTATAACGACTCGCATTATAACGAGTTACTGTGAGAAGAATTGTAATTTATTTTGAATTGGTTCAGTTTAGTCGTCCATAGGTCATCTGATGAGATTGTAATTTGCATAATACCTTATAGCTGAAATAAATAACACTGAGCTGTGAAAATTTGGCAAATGAAAAATGTTACAATGACACTCAAACGGCCAGGTAGCGCAGTTGGTTAGAACGCCTGTCTTACAATCGTTAGGTTGCGAGTTCGAAACCCACTGACTGCCTGGTCGTGGGGTGAGCGTCGTCGACGTTCAGCTAAGGATCATGAGTGGTCTATGCAGCCCCCCGGTCTACTCAGCCGAATACTCGAGAAATCGGGTGTGAGGGTTAAATGAGGAGCTGCACATTGCAGCAAAGTCTCGGACGAAGAAAGTATGGTACACACTACCTTAACCGTCACTGGCCAAAAAGATCCTTCGGCTTCCTGTAATTGGCTGGTTGCACTTGTGTAACATTACACCGAAGTAAAATAAGTGTCTAGATAAAAAAAAACTACATAAAAAGCGCATTATAACGAGGTATGTGTTGTAATGACACTAACCATCCAATGAGCCTTGCAGATTACATCAGCCACGTCAAATCTAGGAGCTGTCTTACTGATGGTGGTGAGGCTCTTCTCAGTCGAGTCCGGGTGAGAGGCTCTGTGGGGGAAGGAGGGTGTTATAAATTCATACTCCTTTTATGGTCATCACGTGGTCACGTGTTAGCTAGGAGGGTGTTATAAAGATGACCGTTGATCTTAATCTCTTGATTAAGCCGTTCTTAAATTACCCACACGCACACGCACACATTTATTGAGATTATTACTATAGATGAGAGGAGAGATGTTGGAGAAAAGAGGCAAATCATTATCAAGATGATTATGAAGATAGTTGGACATAGAAGTAAGAATGGACTCCTTATATGGTCATAACGTGGTCACGTGTTAGAAGTAAGACTCACATTAATCCTTCGTTAACATCACTTATCTCATTGTCAGTGATATTTTCTGTATCTGACATCCTAAAAGAGCCGTACTTCATGTATAGTCGGTCAACTAATACCTCCAATAAACTAGGCATTGCAACAAAACTATAAGCAAATAGTACAAGCAAATGCTACAAGCAAATACTACAAGCAAATACTAATCTCTGACACCGTTTAGACTTAAGAACAACCAAATCGTCTCTTTTTGCAGTTAATTAATCTGCAGCATCTAATAATCAGATAATCTGCTGGGCCAGCCAAATCTATAGATAGTTGGTTACTATGGTTACTGTTTCTATAGATCCCAAAATAAAACATAAAAATCAGACCACCGCTCATCTAAGCAGCTAAATGGAGTTAATCAATACTAATTATGAGCCACCTAATAGCCACCTTTATTTACTAATTATACCTTTATTTAAACTCGACATGTCTCCTCACCGCACGTTTAATTAGCAGCCGGGGCAGGTAGATTATGAATCCGGCTTAGTTTCGTTGTAATTCTTAGTTTTGTAGAGTGAACTATGGCACAAAGGACTGAGTTTGAGAAGTTGGATTTCCACCCTGCTGAAATAGGGGTGTCGGATGAGTCTACACCAGTAAATTACCTTGAGAACTGGATATCAGAATCAGTTGTGTTGGATATGGAACCTCTAGGATCACGTGACGAAGGAGATGAGAACCTAACAACCCTCTCATCTGAGTCACGTGATGTAGTCTATCACACTTTTACAGTTCCCCCAGCTAAACAAGACAGGAGCAACTCTCTGAGAAGTGAAACAAGTTCCTGCTGTCTGGAGGTGATAGAGGAATCACCACAGGTAACACCTGAAGAGTCACCACAGGTAACACCCGAAAAGTCACCACAGGTAACACCTGAGGAGTCCCCCAACTCTTCCTCAGAAAGGTCACCAGTTGAAGCTCCCTCGGCCTCGCCTCAACTTAAACATTGTTCAGGAGATGAAGTGTCTTCTCAGCACACTTCCCTAGATATTGAAGACATAACAGATGTAACCAGACTGTCTGTTCAGAGCGTGTCTCCGAGCAACTCTTTGTTCTTTACAGGACATACTCCAGACAGTGATAATCATAATGAAGAACCAGACCAGCCTGATGCAGAAACAGAAAGTTGTAAGTCCTCTGAAGTTTCTGACACGGTTGCCGGATACGCTGACTTCGACCCCAACATGTTCAACAAGATGTTCTCAATCCCAGACACCCAATACCCAACCTCACCACAGTTAGTAGCAGTGAAATCTATAGTCAGTATCTCAGAATCAGAGGATGAGCCCTGTAAAGAGGAAGATGTTTACATCTCACCCATCCCAACCCCTCGTCCCTCGTCCCACCAGGGCTCACTGAAGGAGCTCCAGGAGAGGAGGATGGCGAAGCAGAGACTCCGCTCTTCCAGTGGTAGTCCAGCAGATAACACCACTTCTAGAGTTTCACGCGTTTCAGAGAGCTACTCACCTAACATCCCTCGGAGACTGTCTCTTGATGTTCCGGATCTGTCTCACAGCGCTAGGAGGTCCCCAGGTAGTTCCCCTATCTCATCCCCAGTGCGGTCCAACAGGCAGATGTCAGACTCGTCCCCCCTGCCTGAGCAGTCCGCATCAGCTAGATCTACTGTTGAGAGCATGTTAACCAGTCCCAACTCCAGACGGCGTCTCTCCACACAGGTTCGGAGAAGCAAGGCTTTTGCTACCTTCTTCGGATCACAGCCAGATGGGGACGAGAGCCCGGTGATGAAGCCTAAGAGTAGAAGAATGTCCTTAGCTCAGCAGATACCCTCCTCTAGAAAGCGCTCTTCAGTGAGCCAGCCTAAACAAAAGCGGAGGTCAACACTTACAAAGATCGCAGATGCGGTAATTTCAGCTTTTATGAAGAAATCCGCTGACGAGGACGAATCTGCCAAACGGCCGAAAAGGGAGAAAGTCGCCCAAAGCACGGTTAACAGGCAAATCTCTCAGCCAATGGAAACTCCCTCCTTTCTAATAGACGAGTTATCCCCTGATCAGGAAGAAGCAGTTATCCAGTCCCTGCCTGCCCAGATAATCGCACCTCCTCTTGTTAGGATGGGGAGGGGGAGAAGGAACTCTATAATGCCTGGAGCAGATCCCACTCAGGTTGTCATGAGGAAGATGGATGCTAGCAAGACCAAGGAGAGACCGAAGAGCGGGGGGCCTAAAATAGATGACGTGGTGTTCACTGTTAACACTAAGGGGGAGATGGAGATGTTTGAGGTGGTGCCTGTTGTTCAGCCAACTGTTATAACTGGTTAGTTGGTTACTATGGTTACTGTTCCTACTGGTTAGTTGGTTACTGTTCCTACTGGTTAGTTGGTTACTATGGTTACTTTTCTTACTGGTTAGTAAATTGAGTCAGCAGATAGTTGGTTGTTATTCTACTGGGACGCTAGCTTTTCATCGGGCTTGTGACTAACACAAGATTTAGAATTAGTGTCGTTGTCGGAGTATCAGACCTAACAATTACCGACTAAATTACACGACTATAAACACGATTGATAAGAATTACAGAAACAAAGCTAAACTAGTGTATAATGAGCAGTATAAATAGAAGCTGCATACAAAGTAAGGTTAGGCGAGGATAATGTACAATTACAGCTTCCGTGTTCCAACTACAAGTCAGCTCGGTGTTATTCCGCAAATTAATATTGTCTCCAGATTGCGCGGATCTAACAATAAAAGCTTGTTAAAATAAAAAATATATCTAACGAAGAAAAGTACGACGTGGTCGTTTAGATTCTTTTTGGTTCTTAATTTTATTACTCGTTCGCTCACTAATACCTAACTGTCATAGTTCAACCCAAGTTTCGCTAAGGATTTTTCTGTGTACGTTGAGAATTGAAAGGTTTGATGATATCCTTACATCACCTGTTTTGAAGCTTTGAGTATAAGCGCCAAGTTTTGTGAAAAGATCCAAACAGCTAATTTTCCATAGTTGATAACGTATTTTAGCTTTCCCCATTTTACCATTTGGAGACGAACTTATATTTTTTAGGGAGTAAAAATTTACAACCTTGTGATCCTCCCTGCGTGTTACTTGCCGGGCCGTGTCTAGCTAGACACGCAGGGAAACACAAAATATGAGGCTTGAATTCTTCGTAAAACTACATCACGAGAGCGTCAAATTATAAGAAAATATTAAAATTCCCTCTAATTAGTTGGTTACTATGGTTACCACACTCTCCACAGGTCGGATAAAGGATGTGGACTCAATGGAACAGTTCAAGAGAGCCGTCCTCTCCGCTCACGACTCCCTGGTCTGTGTCACCTTCAGTGCTAAGTGGTGCGGACCGTGGAGGATGATAAAACCTGATGTTCACAGACTCAGTCACATTCACGGAGACGTTATCTTTTACGAGGTTAATTCTTTCACCTTATTGGAGGCCCTGGCGTTCATTTTAATGTCCGTTCAATCAAATTTCTACAAGATAGTTAATTTAAACTCATTAAATTATTATTAATGCCTTCGAGCGTTGATGTCCGTTCACGCATGACGCAATTTCCGGTAAAATAACATCCGATAAGATAGGTATATCTGAATGGTACAGTGCTGTGCACCCTTTTCCTTTATAAAGCTTTAAAGTAAAAGCTCCTGCTTTACTTTTTAGAATAAATCATACCAATCCAGGTAGATGTAAATGATAATCTACCAATAATCCAGGTAGATGTAGATGATAACGAAGAGATTGCAGCAGCTCGGCGAGTTGTGTGCATGCCAACATTCCAGTTTTTCAAATGCGGTTACATGCTAGACAAGTTCGCTGAGCCGAACAGGATAAAATTGGACGAGACAATAAGGAAGTTAAGGAGGCTGGAAGTAAAGGAGGACGAGTACAGATTCGAGCGGTTCCCGCCTGTCATCTCAAGCAGAGGTTAACACCTGACACAAACACACATACCTTTTCGGACTTTACTTGAACGGACATTAACTGGACGCTAGAGGCCCTACCGTTCATTTTTATGTCCCTTCATTTTAATGTCTGTTAAAATTTTGGCGGACGCCCTAAGTAGATGGCCGTTCAAAATCATTTCCGTTCACACAATGTCCGGTCAAATAAGTTCCGATAAGGTACTCACACTCACACATAATCACATACACGTGATTAGGACTTTAACATAAAGTGGCAAGTTCAAATGCTGTAAAGTCGCTATAAAGTTGTTGTAAGAACTCAAGATAGTCTAACACTGATACGGTTATATTAAAAAGATGTTACGAGTGATTGATAAGAGCAGCTTACATCTTTTTAATTTGAGACAAGGGCTAAAATTGAGACACACTTTAAATTTTAATTTTTCACGGCAAAAAGTAATCAATTTATGTTTGACAGTTGTTTATTTTTTTAATTCTGTTTTTATAAATATTTATTGTGGAACAAACTTATTTGTTTGATTGAATTCTGAATTCATTTACTGAAAATCTTTTCTTTTTTTTCTTAGGAAGAGAATGATAAAATTCTTGTAGGTTTACAACCTACCAAGACGCGCGCCGAGTTGGACTCGTCGACGGTCCAATTCAATATATGGAACAAATATTTTACGAGTATCACCCGTTAAAGAATAAATCGAATAATTTTTATAGTCTGAATCTGAAATATTTTTTAAAATACTGGTGTTATTGAGTTAAACTATAAACTCTAATTGAGGCCCCTTCCAGCCATTGGCACCTGCCATCTAATATGGCAGGTTTTGCAGTAAGGCTGATAATCAATTTAAAGCCTTAATCAGATTTCTGCAAAATTAGCCGCCATTCCGCCAATCCTGCTTATTTATTTTACTTGCACAGACACGAAACCCACGTGATTGTTTAATTGAGTTGTTGTTCGTTAGAAAAGTATGCAAAATTATTTAAAAAAACATGCATTATCTTACTACCACCCATAGCAGAAATGATATTGCGCTATCTTACTATATGTAAAGCGAGACGATATATATATTTATATCCGTACCATTTTACTGACACCACGGCATCATTAACGGGTGATACTCGTAAAATATCTGTTCCATATAATTATATTGGACCGTCGACGAGTCCAACTCGGTGCGCGTCTTGGTAGGTTGTAAACCTACAACGGCATCAACTTTAACAAGACTTTCTGCAAAAACCGTAAAAAAGGAAACAGCAGTAAAAATAAACTGCAGGCGTAAGGCGTTCCCGCGCTCACCGAGCTAACGTGATAAGCTGACCAATCAAGTAATGTTCCCCCTGTCATGTGACGGTAGACCTACCAATCACACGTGCGCACGACTGGCGTCCTGCTAATCTTATGTTATGATTTCTTATCTAATAGGAGATTAAGTTTAACTGTTCATTGAAATAAAGGTGCTACTGATTATATGACTGGGCAAGGAAACTCTGTTCTACCGCGTACAACCCTAGGAGGCTGCCTGATGAGGCTGCCTGATGTATTTGAACCACCATTATTAATATTCCACGGTCCATCAATTTGCCACCTCAGGTATTTTAACTAATTTTATCGAACTGGAAACACTTATCTGGTGACTTTGTAACTATCGCTAAAATAATTCACAAGTTCCTTTCTTGTTTGACAGTAAACTAGGGGTCTCTATTTCGCGTTGGAATAATAACCAAACAACACACTCTTAAGTCTTAACTTTAGAACATAAGATAAAATATTACATCACAATTATTTCATGGCATCATATAGCTGAGTATAATGAAATAATACAATTCAAAAGCTTATTTAATATGAGGGCTATGAAAAGGAGCAAATCCATTATATCGGAAACAGATGCACGAAAATAAGTTAATATTAATAAAGGCAAATATAAGTTTTGGTTGCTCCCCAATGAGTATCTATCTGTTACTGAACGCTTACAAATCTAGTTGCTTATTTATCATTCTAAATACATACTAATTTACATCCACACTTGTTTTATAACTGCAGACTTTAAAATCACATATCATATCACTATCACGTGACTTTAAAATCACATATCATGTCAGTGTCAAACTCAAACTGATTGTTAACCTGTATGGTATTCAATATGAAGCTATTATGACATTTTTCAGTTTTATAGTAACAACTTAAATACTACATCCTCCCCTCTCAGTCGACCAAAAGTTATTGACCTGCGGCTTTGGCGTCCTTCTTCATCTTACGTCTCAAAAAGTTTCCTTGTATTTTAGCAGCTGCAGCCTTTACTTCGGGATCCTCCAGATCAATATCTGAAACGATTTAATTTAATATTATTAACATATTATTATGGATGTTCATGTTACTGGTTTCCCAATCATTTAGTACAGTCAAATTCTGCTAACTTGTGCCTGCCCTAACCAGTCCGAGCATTTTCCCAGCCCAAATGTTCTTAGCCGACATTGATTTCATTCAAGTTTCCTTGTTGTGTGTTTTTGTATTATTTTATTCAAGTTTCAAATCAAATTAAATCAGACTTAAAAGTTAAAACCCTTTAAAATCCTTTTATTTACAGATTTGTGCGAGATAAAATATGAATAAATAAAATATGAAGAAGAGCGCAAAGTGCATACACTTCATAAAGTAAACTGACCAACTACTTCCTCCTCTGCAGCAGGGTTGGCAGGTGGGGCAGGTGGGGCTTCGGCTGAATCAGACATATCTTCAGAGACCTGGCATAATTTTGTGTAAAGGTAATGTCTTCCTGGGAGGTCAAACCTGATCTATACATCATCGCAATGACAGATATGCAGACGGTGGGAGAACAAGCTATTATATAAAAACGTATCTCATCACATAACGAACAGAAGCTAACGTTTGTCACCCAGGGAAGATTAGTACTCCGCAAGCAATCCAGAATACCCATTTTCTAGTTAACTAGGTAGGCCAATACACGGAACAGTTGTGTCCGGGATCATTAGAACTAATTAATAATGTATATTCTGCTGCAGAACTAATTACAACAATCAGTTATATTCTGCTGCAGAATTAATTACAATAATCAGTTATATTTTCCTGTAATTGTTCACCAGACATTGGCTTTCGTCAATTGCAATTGCAGCAGTGAACGAATGGAAACATATAGTAAAGTAGTAAAGTATAGTGCAATGTTTACAGTACACTACAATAGTTGTCAGATAATAAAACTTATACACCAACAAAGTAAATCATAATATATCTTCAACAGAACCGGTTTTAAACTGTGAACACTAAATGTTGAAGATCAAAGAGCGCTGTATTATCATACTATTATAGTACGACTTATGACGAGGAGCCCAACATGACGGCAGAGCTTACAGCAGTACACCTAAAGTTATAACAGTTTATTGAATATTGGGTATTTAAAGGTAATCAGACACCTTCTCCGCGAAATCAGGGTTGTACTCCGCAAGCGATCGCTGGGTAGTTGCAACATCTGTTACAAACAGCCAATTACCACCGGATAAATGTTGGACTCTACCTCTAAACCCAGGAGATGTCGGAGATGCTTAACAGTATCATTAGATCTATTTGTTTACAAATTAGTACGATCGATGGAAGTAAAGGGCGTTGTGGTTAACTTTACGCATGTATTCTTAAGCTAAACACCGTGCAAACTATGAATGAGTAGCAGTTCAATATAAGTTGCAGCGGTAATGATTGAAGCGAAACAGAGAAAAGTAAATGATTTGTCCATTTTGTTTCATTGCAGCGACCGCATCAATGTGTAATGTGCCTTGTAGAGGAGGAAAAACAAAACATAAACACGTTTGCGAATAATTGGCGTTTATTTGGCTCTTATTTCTTTCTTTGATCTTAGTTTAAAAACAGAATTGCCGCGACAGAAACTAAACGTCAAACAACACAAAAGTTGGAACTGAAGTTTGATAAAAGTTTACTCCTTCATAAATGTAAGAGTTTGCCAAGGTTGAAGTTGACTAATTGGATTTCGCTATAGAACTGAACTTTGTCATGATCATGATGTGTCAATAGTATTGCATGTTCTCGAGAAGTCAAGAGAGCAACAAATCATTGCTCCCAACAAAACACTATTGTAAGAACCTCCAAATGTCCGATGCCACTGTATTTCTTGTATTAAAGCTCTTGAGTAATCCATCCTTATCTCACAGCCGTAATAAATGGGTTTATTATCGGATTAACTTTATTTATTATTAACTTATATTTATTATTATTCGATAAACTAGGAGCTATTGTAGAATGTAGATCTCACTCCTTCCCCACTCCTTCCCACCGAGACGAACAATTAAAATCACCTCTGCGTGCTGGAGGCAATCAAGTGAACTAAGACTGATAAGGAGGCGAAAGCTTTAGATATCGAAGTGTCACGATCTGCGCCAACAATAACGTCAGGGACTCAGTAACAAAGAGCCCCACAGACCCCGCTATGAGCTATCCACAATAATTCCACATACCCCGCTATGAGCTATCCACAGACCCCGCTATGAGCTATCCGCAGACCCTGCTGTCCGTTTTTTTCTCACGTTTATGACAATAAACGAAAACAAATAGATCTTACGACGAGGAGGATTCACAAAATGAGACCCAAGATCAGACGACCAGGTGTTAAGGATTAACACGTAGCAGTTGAGGAAGGACCTTTGCTATTTTGGAGTTCAAACCCAAACGGACACTGATCCTTTCCTGTTAAATTACTTCTGTCCTACGACCTACAAATAACAAACCGCTCGGGTTAGTACTCCTAAGGGACTATCACATCTTACATTGTAGGCTATTGTATTTGTAAGTACCATTATTTAGTAACAAAGGATCACCAGCCAGGAGCCATTCTGAGCTGTATTGTCATTGAAATTGTGCTTGAAAGTCTAACGACTAACCTTGCCTACTGTATCCTCACAGTAACCTTGCCTACTGTATTCTAACGGCGATAATTCCCTTTCAAGTGTCAAGTGTTACTATATACCTATACTAGTGAAACGTTACGGATCCAAAACCCTGGAGGAACCTAAAGGAGGACATGACCAGAAGGAAGTGTGAACCCACTTCCCAGCTGATCGGGATAAGTCATGTTCCGGGAGCCGTTGGAAGGGTCCCGTGAAGCCCTATAATAAAGTTCTTCTCCAAATTCAACCATGCGATATTTAGGTCCACTTTGTAGTGTCGGGCATTTTCCATCAGTAGTCCGGTTCTTACAACCACTAGGCAGTTCATAAAACAATTTGCAAGATAGGAAAGCTCTCTGGCAGACACATCCCGTAATAACGGTTACAAAAAGGAGACTATTGCATGGAACCTCTACACTGTAGAGTCTACAGCGTTCCTAAGCCATGTACATAATGATAAACGTCGTTAATACAATAGCATTAGTGTTTATTAAACGCTAATACTATTGTATCACAATTTAGTTGTACACACACAAACTACGGTCGATGGTCGGAGGTTATAGTCACGAAGATTAAAAGTGAGTTTCAAGGTTTTTCAGTTCCTCAATTTTCATGCGTGCGTGCATATTATTTTTATTCTGAGATTATGGATGGAAAGCTTTTATCTATGGACTCATTCTGGAGAATAGAATTAAATTATTTTCGGATTTATATCTCGCTTATCTGACATTACAGTATTGCAGTAAAGATCATAATTTTAAATATGGAAGTATTACATCCTCATATTGGCAAATTGTTTAAATAAGGGCTGATTACGAGTTTTATTGTTCATTAGCAATTTTATTAGAGTTTTAAGAATAAATATATAAATATAAAATATAAAATTAAACTAAAACGGTGATGTCACCATCGCTGGGCTCTCATGTTGTAATGGCTAACTCGCAATGAGTTACATCACTCTTTATTGTTTTTTCTACCTTCAACACGGAGATACATCGACAACATTTGCTCCAGGCAATCTGGAATCTTTAACAAATGGAACATGGAAGCTTATTTCTCACTATGTTCTCTCTTTGACGAAGATCCTATCCATTTGTAAGACAAATGTCCAAAGGAACACCAAGGAATACAAAACAAGTACCAGAGTGTTAGAATCAGCTAGACTCAGATGAAATTAACAATTCAACCCAAATTAACCAAGTCACACCCAGCTGAAAAGTCATGTTTATAATTGAGCTTAGACAGGTCTATTTAGACTAATTGGCGGAGAGAGGAGAGAAGGACAAAAGAGGAGGAGATTTTATCGAATCTGCAATTAGTTATTTCCTTATTTGGGCATCACGTGGTTCTTCCTGTCAAATTTGGATTACTAACCTACTAACCTACTAACCTACTAACCTACTAACCTACTAACCTACTAACCTACTAACCTACTAACCTACTAACCTACTAACCTACTAACCTACTAACCTACTAACCTACTAACCTACTAACCTACTAACCTACTAACCTACTAACCTACTAACCTACTAACCTACTAACCTACTAACCTACTAACCTACTAACCTACTAACCTACTAACCTACTAACCTACTAACCTACTAACCTACTAACCTACTAACCTACTAACCTACTAACCTACTAACCTACTAACCTATTAACCTACTAACCTACTAACCTACATTCTACCTCCCTATCTACCTACCTACCTACCTTGCTTACTTAGACAAAGCTTCAGACAAAACGTACGCTCGGAGCTTAATGTAACATATAAGAAATTGCTTTGACTGTTTATGTTAAAGAGTGGTCCTGGCTAAAATCAATTATCTCGACTAAACACACTGGTACGAACCTGGTGGTAACCATGGAAACTAGGTGGTACTAAGTGGTAACCATGGAAACTAAGTGGTACTAGGTGGTACTAGTTAAAAGAGACTATTATAAAACAACAGGGAATGAGCTGCTAGCAGGTATGTGAGGTGAGTACTTGCTCGCATACCTAGGTGAGTACCTGTTATACTCACCAGTCACCTAGGTATGTGAAGTATGATAATTACATTGTCTTAATGCTCTGTGTTGTCTAATGTTATAGTGTCTGGTACTGACTATAGATTATAGCACAAAAGATTATAACACAAAAGTTGGTACTTCTAATGCGATGTTTTGACAGATGAGCTGGGATCTTCAAACCATTAACACAAAATATACTTCCTTATTTGGGCATCACGTGGTTCTTTCAGTCTAAATATATGGCCACTCACGATAATAATAAACGGCCGAAAAGATCACAACAGTTGAAGTCTGAAGAGAACAGTTAGGTGGCACTAGGTGGTACAGCGAGTGACAATAATAATTGAGAAAGAGATAACTAGATTTGTTCAGGCTGACCGTATAATAGTCAAACACTGTTACAAGTTTAAACACAGGGGAGAGATTACCGTAAACAATAATCACAGTTACCAGGGTCTCCCGCTTTCAACACTACATTACACAACAAACACAATGTTTGGAGGATTAATTAAATAATTAAACTATTATTAGACATAATTTAGGAGTAATTAGGAGCAATTACCATGGTCCAAGTTTAGTAATTACAGTAAAGTCTGCTGTATGAGGTCTGTCATGCTAGGAGACAGGGACAAATGTAATAGTAGGTAAAGGTAAGACAGGTTGGTCAATAGGTCAATAGTCCATTAATAAATATCGTTCTATTATATTCAAGATACGCAACAACATCCAGCTAATATAATACAATGGCATTATGATATCAGACTATTGGTATACAACAAATATTTAAATATTGGTACTGGGTACACAAATACTAGTCTATTGGACAGATGGTACCC